CTTATAATCTGAATTAAAGTCTTTAATGTTTATTTAAAATCTAATTTAATTATTCCGAAATAAATATCAATTAAAAGAGTTGTAATCAAAATTACATTCTTTTAATGTTTATTTACTATATTCGGGATAATTAAAATCATCTGTATATCAAATATACATATATTAACTCTAGATATATTTTAGTAACATACAACAAATTGTACATCTTCGCTCATTTCAATCTTAGGGTGTGACCCTGTAGGTTCTTGTAACGTCATATTAGACTATTAAGTTTGATGAATGTATGATTGTATGTGTGAGGTGGTTGACTTTGTTAGAATCTGTTAGAATGTTAGTTAGACATTCGGTTTATTTTAACTGACTCAACTTCTCCCATGTACATCAATGTATGCCTTTTTTGTTCACAAATTTTTGCCACCAAAATCAGTGATGTAAGACGAATCTACACCCTTCAAAGGAAGTGAATAGACAACCTTATTTTGTCCCGATCTCTTGGATTCTTCCATACTTAAGCACTCCATATGCTTCGCCAAATATAAGATAGCATTGTACAAGTCTAAAACTAAAAAAATCACTTGTCAAAAATTATTTTGCTCATAAGAATATACCCACAAGAGATGCTGGATTAACAAATAGCTGCAAGCCTTGCTTAGCTAAAAGGGTGACATTAAATTTCACCATATCCCTAAACCCAAGTCCTTTATTCTCTTTTAACTAACTCAACTTCTCCCATGTACATCAATGTATGCCTATTTTGTTCACAAAATTTTTCCTCCAAAATCGGTGATGTAAGGCGAACTACACCCTTCAATAGAAGTGAATAGACAACCTTATTGTTGTCTCGATCTAGAAATGAAAAAAGTGATGCCCTTGAATAAAAAAAAATAGATTTCACTCCACTCACTCTCGTGTTTGCACTCGAGAATATATCTTGGCTTTTAATGATTCCCCTTTGATCTAACTCACTCAGTATGCCTTTTTCCACTCTATCTCTCTTGTTAGGTCCTTTTAAAGAACTAACTCAATATTATAACAAGTTCTTTATCTCTTTTGTGCATCAGCTTCAATATAGGTTAGTATGGACAAAAAAAGAAGAAAAAAATGGAAAGATAAAAGAAATGATTTAAGGAAAGGAAATGAAATGAAAAGAATGAAATGGTTTAGGAAAAGGAATGAAAGCAAAGAAGGAATGGGTGACTTACAACACAAGAACAAAACTTATTGTACCCTTTCACAAGACACAATAAGGTTATCTTCCTTGGAGTAGATATGCCTCCCTATTTGTCTTGAAATGGTAATGTACTTTCCTTGGCTTTGACTTTCTTTTTGCTGGAATTTTGTTTTCTTCCTTTTGAACTTTTCTTTTTGTTTTTTCACTCCTTTGTTTGATGTAGAAGCTTTGATTTCCTTTTGAACTTTTGTTTTTGTTTGTTACACGCCAATAGCACTTTTTGTGTCAATCCAACTATGCTCTGAATAACGCTTGATGTAATGTGAATCTACACCCTTCAAAGGAAGTGAATAGACAGCCTTATTGTTGTCCCGATGTAGGAATGAAAAAAGTGATGCCCTTGAATTATAAGTATGGTTGCACCAAAAAAAAGATAAGTAAAATGATTAGTAAGGATATAATGAAATGGATAAGTAATTAAAATGATAAAAATGAATAAAAGGGAATAAAGAGTTGGTTGTGGAAGTATATTGAAGATAAGGTTGTTGGTGGTGTTGAAGTTGAATGAATGATAATGGAAGATGGTGATGAAGTTTGTATCTCAAACACGCCAAAGAAGAAGCTATGCTAAATAGCACAACCCCGGTCTTCACAAACTTGCTTGAGGGATGGTAATGGTGTCTCAAACCCACTATATATGAAATCTAGGAATTAAATGAATCAAATATGGAAAGAATGACGCCACAAGCATAGAAATATACTTGCTTAATCAATAGAGTTCTTAAAGAACTTTGAAGAGAGATTAACTCACAAAGAAATTTATAAAATGAATAATATGCTTACAAATTATGAAGCCTTTCCTATTTATAGGAAATGAAAGGCTTGGTCGTATAGTCATCTAATGATTATGCTAAGTACATGAACGTACATAATGCTTTAAATGAAAGAATAAGTCCTTTGGCATGGTGATGGTTCGACTAACTCTTCAAAGGAGGCATGATGATTCGGCCAACATGCATAGAACATTCCTTGGCCGAATGAGGACATGTTGGTTCAAGTTAGCGCCAAAGACTTCATGTGTACGGCATGTGGGGGCTGGCCAAATGGCCATGATGCTTGCTTCATACCTCTTCGTGATTTAGGCCTCCATTTGATGAGATATCTTCACCAACGTGCACCTTGATGAAATGGCATCTTCATGGACAACAACATTCATGAAAGGTCACAATTGTTGGAAGGTAATATTTCATTTTTGAGCTAGTTCTAAGGTGAATGAGCTGGAGGTGAGTTGTAACATGTTGATTGTTATGGCAGCTCCTTGTGAGAAGTCACCTCCTGGAAAGGCACCTCTTCGCGAAAAGGTACGATTTCTTAAAATTTGATTTGACCCATTTGAAGTATTCTGAGTGGTAATGTTGATGATGCATCTCCCCAGCTTAATTGAATTAGCTCGAATCTTCAGCTCAACCAGCTATGAACTCACTTGTCTTCGAACAACCTTTCACCAAAGATTTCTTATGCTCTCCTGAGTGTCCCTATAGGAGTTCCCTTGCTATAACTTTTACCATTCAACTCAAATCAACTCCATTAGGTGTGGTCGAATGTACCTTCAAAACAAAACACAATATAAGCTAAGTATTTAAACATTAAATATAAAGATGTGGGCTAAGGCTATAATAATAACTTCATGCATCACATAATAATGAATGAAATATTATCATCATAGATATAGATGTAATATATGTATATAAATATATCTATATCATAAATGAGATATGAGTCATGTATTATCAATATAATCATCATAATCATAGTGTAGGAAAATAAAAAGTTAGAGAAAATATCCCTTTGAATCTTATGAAAGGTTGGAGATGCAAGTATGAATATGATGCTAAATCGGTTCACATCAACCGGGCCATAATATTCTCCAGCTTCAAAAACAAACTTTTAGGTAACAAGAAACAATTCATGAGAAACAAAGGGATCGCCTAAAGGACCGACTTTATAAAAACCTCCTTACCACCCTGTGAGAGTACCCGAACACACCAATTGCAAATCCGACTGTTGAACTTGTCAATTAATTTTTTTGAAAAAATATCTATTTTATTTAACCCCACAATTGTCGGTAACCCCACAATTGTCGGTAACCCCAAATACTTCTCTGAGCATGTTGTGTTGTTAACTTCAGGGATACATCGAACATCATTTATGTTGTTGTTTATTGCATTCGTGCTGAAAAAAAATTCTCAGACTTGTCAAAGTTAATCTTCTGACCTGAGCTCTCTCCATAGAGGCACAAATGGTTTTAATTTGTGAAGCCACTCGAGAAAATGCCTCACCAAAGATAAGGCAATCATTCGCAAAAAGGAGATGAGATATCGTAGGTGCATATCGATTAATTCTAACCCCTGAAAGTTCTCGTACAAACATTGCTCTACGAAACAAGGAGGATAACCCTTCACTACAGATGAGGAACAAGTAAGGACTAAGTGGGCCATTTTGACGAAGCCCCCCTTGAGGCATAAAATTTTCACCCGCTACTCCATTAATGATCACTGAGTAGGACACCAAGCAAACGATTCTCTTTATAAATTCAATCCAGACTAGCGAGAACCCCATCTTATCCATGATAGCACAAACAAAGTGTCATTCAACTCCATCGTGTCTTACTCATATCAAACTTTAACGCAAAATGGCCTTACGACCAAACCGTTGCTTCTGGAAAGAGTGCATTTGTTCATAAGCAACAATGATATTGTTAGTAATCAACCTCCCTGTAACAAAAGCACTCTACACCTCATCGATACAGGAATGAAGGTGGCTTTGCATTCGATGGACCAACTTTGACACTATTTTAAAAATAATGTTGCATAAACTAATGGGTCAAAATTGACTCAACTTCTTCGGATCTGTAACTTATGGATTAAACACAATGTTTGTGTGATTATCCTCCTTCATATAATTTCATCCATGAAGAAGGTCAATACAAAAGTCTACAACCTCCCCGCCAATCAAGTGCCAAAATCGCTGATAAAAGAGTGCACCCAATCCATTTTCCCCCAAATCCTTTAAAGGGATCATGGATTTTACCGAATGCCATACCTTGTCCGCAGTAAATTCCTTCACCATGGTGACATTCGCTTCCTCCGAAGTGCTTGGAACTATGCCCTCCAAGATAGTACTATCAATCGAAGATGACATGGATGTGAATAAGGTTTGAAACTACTTTTTGGTTAACTTTACCATCCCCAGTTCATTCTCAATTCGACTACCATCAACATTATTAAGGGAGGTAATTTTATTAAATCATTTTCATTGGGAGGCATACCTATGGAAGAAAGTTGTGTTATTATCCCCATTACGGAGCCAATTTACTCACACTATTTGTTCCCAAAATAACTCTTGCTTATAAACGTCAAAATAAATTTGTGGCTCTGTATCAACAATTTCACTAAGTACTTCGTCTGTTGGAGATTTCTCAATCAATTTTTCTAAGCATCGTTCTAGATCTATCGTTGTTAACCACTTTAACCGACAAATATTCTTGAACCATTTATCTAACTTGCTGCTAACATAGTACAATTTTTCTTAAACTAGCAGCTCCACATTTTCTAGTAGTCGTTTGTTGTGGTTTGAGATGATTAGAAGAGAAATCGAAGAATAGATAAGAGAAATAGAGAGAAATTTAGAGAGAATTCAGAGAAGAAAATACTTGTCATTCATAACATAGAAAGCAGAGTGATTCTACAGCAGTATTATTTAGTTACAGGGCTACAAACGTCATTATAAAATAGGCCAGCTATCTGTACTAATAACAACCTATAACAGATTATATCTTCTCTCCTTGCAGGTTTGTTGGGCCACCTAACTGGACTGCTTCACTTCTCCCGTCTGAAGACTTGGGCTGGTCCAATATGCCTGAACCAATATCAGATAACTCCTTTCCCTCAGGTAAACGCCTCATATCCCTCTCTCTTCCTTCAATCCCTAAATTCCCTTCTTCAATCCCCTCTCGAGCCTCAATCCCTAACCCTAACTCTCTGTTTTCCCCAATTGTTTCCCCAATTTCTTCTTCTCTTCCCCACTCATCTCCTCGCACATCTCCTCCGACTGTAACAATACCCGCCGCTAGAAAGGATCCTTGTCCCCAAATATCAAAATCAGGGAATTGGCCTCGAAGAACAGTAAAATCTTCCCATGTATCGCTGGTTTCATCGAGGTTCTTACAATGCACAAGCAACTGAGTTACAGGTTTGTTCTGTCTGTTTATGATTCTTCGACCCATAATCCTGTATGTCTCGATTCTAATCTGTCCATCATCATCCATGGCAGGAGGGTCTCTTGAAGAGACACTTGAATCCCCGATGTGCTTTTTCAGAAGGCTCACGTGAAAAACAGGATGTAATCTAGAAGAATTTGGTAAGTCTAACTTATACGCGACTTCACCAATCTTTTCAATAACTGTATAGGGGCCGTAGTACTTTGCTGCTAACTTTAAATTCTTGCGCAGGGCCAACGAAGTCTGACGGTAGGGTTGCAATTTCAGGTAAACAGTATCTCCAACTACAAATACTCTTTCTGTTCGTTTCTTGTCTGTGTTTTGTTTCATTCTGTTACTTGCATGCTCCAATTGTAGCTTCACTAACTGTCTAATATCCTCCCTACTCCTCATTAAGGCACTAACAGACTGCACATTAGTCTCTGTCTGCGAAACCATAGTAGGAGGCTTGTAGCCATACAATGCCTCAAATGGTGTAAGTTTAAGGGCTGTGTGATAGGTAGTATTATACCACCACTCTGCATGTGGCAGCCATTTAGCCCACTGCTTTGGCTGAAAGAAACATAAGCCCCTCAAATATTGTTCCACACACTAATTCACCCTTTCTGTCTGACCATCAGTCTCTGGGTGGTATGCAGTACTAAATAGAGTTTTAGTACCTAGTTGCTTCATCAGTTCTCTCCAAAAGAGACTGGTGAATGTCTTGTCTCTGTCAGAAATGGCCATTTTAGGCTGGCCATGAAGTTTATAAACAGTATCCAAATATAATTTGGCTACATCCGCAGCTGTATAAGGATGTGATAGGGCTAGAAAATGGCTGTACTTAGTAAATTTGTCAACTACCACCAAAATGCAATTTTTCTTTTGAGATGTAGGTAAGCCTTCTATGAAGTCCATAGTAATAATCTCCCAAGCCTGTTGGGGAATAGGCAATGGTTGTAGGAGTCCTGGTTTAGGAACATGTTCAACTTTAGTCTGTTGACAAACTTGACATCCTCCAACATAATTTGCCACCATAGCCTTCAACTTAGGCCAATAAAAATTTTCCCTAATCCTTTGATAAGTAGCTTGTATTCCAGAATGTCCCCCATAAGGTGAATCATGTAAGAGTTGAAGAATTTGTAATCTTAGAGGTCCAATACCCCCAATATAAACCCTGCCCTTGAATCTAAGGATACCCTTAGAATATGTCCACCTAGGGTCAGCATTACGATTGACTGGTAATATAGATAACCACTCAGTTGCCATTTTATCCCCTTTATAGCTGTCTTCCACTTCCAGTACCCAACTAGGAATTATTAAAGTAGTACCCATAGCCATATACTGACCTTTATCTTCCCACTGTCTAGAAAGAGCATCAGCAACCACATTGGACTTTCCCTTCCTATACTGAATAGAATAGTCCAGCCCCAATAATTTAGTCAGTCCTTTCTTCTGAATGGCAGTAGTTAACTTCTGCTCCAACAAATATTTGAGAGGTTCATGGTCAGTCTTTATGATAAAAGGACTGCTTTCTAAATAATGTCTCCATTTAGATACTGCCATTAGAATAGCAAGGTATTCTCTCTCATATATAGATAGGGCAGCATGTCTAGGGCTAAGAGCCTTACTAAGGTAGGCAATAGGTCTACCCTCCTGAGATAATACAGCCCCAATTCCTCCTGAACTAGCATCTGTTTCTAAGTAAAAACTCTTCCCAAAATCTGGTAGTGCTAACACAGGGGCAATACACATAGCATGCTTCAGATTGTCAAAAGATGTTAGGGCCTCAGTACTCCACTTAAAACTGTCCTTCTTAAGCATCTGAGTCAAAGGTTTGCTGATGGTACCATAATTCTTTATAAACCTTCTGTAATATCCTGTCAATCCCAAAAAACCTCTCAAAGATTTTAAAGATTTTGACATAGGCCAATTCTTCATAGCTGCCACTTTAGTAGGATCTGTAGAAACCCCAGAAGCTGAAATAATATGCCCCAAGTACTCAACTTGAGTCTGCCCAAAGAAGCATTTAGACATCTTGGCAAATAATTGAATAGTTCTTAAAACTTCCAGAACTAATTGTAAATGAATGATGTGATCAGCCATAGAAGTACTATAGACTAGGATATCATCAAAAAATACTAAGACAAATTTTCTCAAGAATGAACTAAATAATTCATTCATTAAGGCTTGAAATGTGGCCGGGGCATTAGTAAGCCCAAAGGGCATTACCTTGAACTCATAATGGCCCTGATGAGTTCTGAAAGCTGTCTTGTAGATATCCTCAGGCTTAATTCTGATCTGCCAATAACCAGACCTTAAGTCAATCTTAGAAAAATAGACTGCTCCATGTAATTCATCCAGTAGATCCTCTACAACAGGAATAGGAAATTTATCCTTCACTGTCATACTGTTTAGTTTCCTGTAATCCACACAAAACCTCCAAGTGCCATCTTTCTTCTTTATTAAAAGACATGGAGAAGCAAAAGGACTTTTGCTTGGTTGAATAACAGAGGAGGAAAGCATATTAGCAATCTGCTTCTCTATCTCAGCTTTCTGATTATAGGGAAATCTGTAGGGTCTTAAATTGATAGGGGTAGCTTCAGGTTTAAGAGGAATAGCATGGTCATGGTTCCTTGTAGGAGGCAGTCCTTTAGGTTCAACAAAAATAGAGTGATACTGATCCAAAAGAGGCTGAATAGCTGTAGGAGTAATCTTGGAATCTTCACACATATTGAAAAACACTACATGTCCCAAAATAGGATAATCAGAAGCTGTCATCTTCAATAAGGTAGCTCCTGAAATTTGCTGCAAAAAATTTGACTGCTGTTGACCTTGTATAGTAATTTGCTTCCCCTTATGCACAAAGCTCATTGTCATGTTATTAAAGTCCATCAAGATTGTACTAAACAATTTCATCCAATCCACCCCTAACACCATATCACTGCCCCCCAACTGAAGTAGTCTGAAATCATGTATAAAAGAGTGCCCTTGCATCTTCCACTCCACTTCATTACACCTTGCTGAGCTATAGAGTTGCTGCCCATTAGCTATTGTAATAGCCAGAGGATGAAGAGTGTTTATCTGTATACCAGCCTCAGCCCATTGAGGGGTTAAAAAACTGTGGGTACTCCCGCTATCAATTAGTATATTCAGTGGTCTCCCTTGAATTGTTCCTTGAATCCTCAGTGTATTATGACCAATGCATCCAGTAATGGCATTCATAGATATTTCTAGGCTCTCTTCCTCTTGTAAATTTTGCTGTTCTGGATCATTAGCTAAAATTTCTGAAGGTAGGACATTTTCATCCTCAATCATCATATTCAACTGTTTTGCTTTGCACTGATGGCCTGGAACAAACTTTTCACCACACTTAAAACATAAACTGTTCTGTCTCATGTAGTCTATCAGGTTCTGTTTTTGTGTTGGAGTGGTTGTATTCTTTTGTGGTAATGTTATCTGGCTAGGCTTAGAACCAGATAGAGGAACTGAATAAACTGGATTTCTAACAAAAGGTTTGAACCTCTTGCTCTCAAATTCCATAGATAGCTCATATAATTTAGCTTGCCTGCTTGCCTCAGACAATGTTTTAGGGTCTAAAGCTTTAACTCTGTGTTTAATGTCATCCCTTAGTCCACTAATGAACAAAGAGACAAAAAATTCCTCACCTAAAGTAGGATTCTGCAAGAGCATGTGAGGCTGTAGTTCTTCAAATCTGTCATGATACTCCTCTACAGACCCTTTTTGCACTAGTTTTGTAAACTCCTCCACTATATCAACAAAAGCTTTATCACAGAACCTATGACATAAATCTGCCTCAAACTCATGCCAAGTCACATGATGTTTTTGCATAATATACCCATCAAACCAAATCTCTGCTTTACCCGTCAAGTACATTGTAGCTACTTCCACTTTCTGTTCATCAGCAATACTACATAATGAAAAATATTTTAGACATTTCTGTAACCAACCTCTTGGATTACTTCCATCAAAAAAAGGTAGTTCAATTTTTGGTCTATGCAGCATAATCCCTGACATGCTAGAGGACCCCCCTATACCTCTTTTATCCACTTCAACAGCCATTAACTGAGTTCTAGCAGCACTGTTCTCCCCCATTTGGTTATCATTTTTGAAACTAGCTATGTGAGCAGGCAAGACGTTTGGTTTAGACTTAAGAATACCAGGTTCATCCGGTTTATAAGTAAACCTAGTCTTATCATTGATTACTGTCACCTTAACAGGTTGTTTGTTACTCATATTAGATGAATCAGGGGTCTGTACCTGGTCTTCAGACTGATTTTGGTCCTCCTTTCTACCAGTTAGAATCTTCAAGATTTCCTCCACATATCCATGATTTGTAGCCAATCTAGACTCCAGTGTAGAAATCCTCTCTTCCTGATTCTCCCACCATTTAGGTGGATTAGACTCATCTTGCCCTTGTTTCACCAGTGCTGTCAATTCCTCCATCTGTTTCTGCAACCCAGCTAAATCTTCTGCCATATTCTGATTTTTCTTGGGCATTCCACCAATCTTGCCAGAAACCGAGGCTCTCGATACCAATTTGTTGTGGTTTGAGATGATTAGAAGAGAAATCGAAGAATAGATAAGAGAAATAGAGAGAAATTTAGAGAGAATTCAGAGAAGAAAATACTTGTCATTCATAACATAGAAAGCAGAGTGATTCTACAGCAGTATTATTTAGTTACAGGGCTACAAATGTCATTATAAAATAGGCCAGTTGTCTGTACTAATAACAACCTATAACAGATTATATCTTCTCTCCTTGCAGGTTTGTTGGGCCACCTAACTGGACTGCTTCACTTCTCCCGTCTGAAGACTTGGGCTGGTCCAATATGCCTGAACCAATATCAGATAACTCCTTTCCCTCAGGTAAACGCCTCATATCCCTCTCTCTTCCTTCAATCCCTAAATTCCCTTCTTCAATTCCCTCTCGAGCCTCAATCCCTAACCCTAACTCTCTGTTTTCCCCAATTATTTCCCCAATTTCTTCTTCTCTTCCCCACTCATCTCCTCGCACATCTCCTCCGACTGTAACATCGTTATACTTCACTTTCAAAAGACTTTTCTAATAGCCAGTATGCTGGAAATTTAAAGTGCCAACTCCTAACCTCATTAACTGAAGTAGTTGTGTCAAGAAATAAAGGGAAGTGATCCGAGAAAGCATGCATAATGTGCCATAGGATATGATGCGACAATAATTGTCACCATACAGTGCATGCTAAACCTCTATCAAGGCACTCACGAATATTATTCTCAGCTGTCATTCCTCGTTCCTATGTGAACCAAGAACCCGCGCATCAAACATCTGATAAACCATAATCATCAATAGCCGCTCTAAACACACTCATCTGTCTTTCATTACAAACAAACCCTTTTTCTTTCTCGTAAGAGAACATAATTTCATTAAAATACCAATCACTAACCAGGGAATGTCCCTAGCACCATTCAGTTAATGCAGAAGGTTCCAAGACTCCAACCTACTGTCCTCCTCTGGGCCCCATAAAACCCCGTAAAACGCCACGTAACTCCCTTAGAAATATTAGAAATTATGACATCTATGTGCAAGCTTGAAACAGATCGTAAAGAAACATTATACCCTGAACGCCAGGCAAGACACAACCACCTCGTGTCCCCCTAGATTAACTTCAAAACCAAAAAGGGGTTAACAACCCTCAGCATATGCCGGAGATGACAAATTGTTCAAGGCATCCCCAAGCTTCGGACGTTCCAACTTAAGAGTTTCATTGTGTCCAGCTGACCTGTGCTCTTAGGCCTATCAATATCTTAAGGTTTTCAGTTATATTTTCATCAGAAACAACTGAGTCTAACTGGGTAATTCTTAGTCACTTCACACTCTCCTATTTTTACATAGGGTCCTCCTCATCAACTGATAACATGGTCACATCAAAACCGTCTCTCATGTTAATTTCAGCCACTAGAATTGCAAAAGTTTTCTCAACCCAAGCTTTAGTCGATCCTCTAAGAACCCTTGAAGTCGTACCATGACTCTCCTCTTGAGCATAAGAGTTTCCACCACAAATAATATCCTCGTGCAACCATGGGCTAGACGCCAAACCCCTCCTCTTTGGAGGAGCTCAGAGAGAAACATCCCACCATAAAAGAAGATCACTATTCTCTTGAATAATGCTTATTGAACAATAGTTTTCCCCATGCCCTAATTTTCCACAGAAAAAACAAAATAGCTTGACTTTCTCATATTGAAAAATAACATAAGATTAATCCATTCGGTAAAACAATTTTTTTCTTCCGCTTCAATGGTTTTCGAATATCAACACCAATCCACACCCTGATACTCCCTCTATAACCCAATGGGAAGTAGTAGCATCATAATCAATAAACGAGCCAATAGAATTTTCAAACTACTTTGCCACTTGTTCATATATAAACCCTACCGACAAGTCATTAACTAAAACCCATAAGCCAACCGTACTAAGGTCTACCACCAAAGGATCCTCACCTGGAGATAACCGATGCAAGACCAATAGATGGGAATTGAAATACCAAGACCATTCGAAACAATACGATTTAGGTCAATGTTAAGAATTCTTGAAAGAGAATCTTGAAGAAAATTCTTATTTCATTGATGAAAAACTATGTACAACAAGGAAATATTAGTGCTCTATATATACAGCACTGTAAACCATACAAAGCTGACGCCGGACAGGATAGCGATTATGCTGCAGGTTAGTTCCAACAGATGATTCACAAGAGAAAATTCGCCCGAAGCCAGAGAAAAAAAAAGTCTCTAGGGTTTAACGGAATATTATAAAATCAAACAATGTGAAAATCAGTCCACAAGCCGAACTGTTATAGCCAAAATCGTCTTTATCCAAATTTTACCAAAAATAGCAAAATCTCAGAAATCACTCTAAATTGAAATTCGAAATAAATTAAGTAATCTGCAAAAAAATCGGGCCAAATCGGATTTAAAATAACTTCCTAAACCATAAATAGTAAAAAATAAATAAAACTGGTGATTCGGAGGGGAAAACGATAGAATTTGAGGTCGAAAAAAAGGTCACATGGAGTTATGCTCAATGTGGACAGCGTGCGCATCGAAAGGGGGCTTTGCGAATTGGGGTCTTTCCGAATTGGGGTCTTATGCGCGATTCCAACACTCGTAGCCAATGTTATGGCCAAAAGACTGAAACGCACTCAAAACGGCCCCAATAAGGAACATATCACAATCAACTCCCGCCTTTGGGCTAATCTGCCAACTCATAGTATCTCAGCGCCATCAAGGTGCAATATGATAGCTCATCATCATCTGTCTCGGATCCCCCTGCATCAAAAGCTCATGTAGATTGCTTGCTTAAGCAGCTACTAAACAAACTAACCACCTTAACAACTTCTCACCATGCAATTTGCACAATAAACTTCGAGGTAGTTTGCTGGCATTAGGGTTTCGAGAATCCAAAGATGATTGTTCTTTGTTTGTTGCTGCTCAGGCTGGTGTTCATACATTCATTCTTGTATATGTTGATGATATCATCTTGATAGGAGAATCACTCAATTGTGAACTCAACAAGCAATTCTCACTTAAGGATCTTGGTGAATTGTCCTATTTTTTGGGCATTGAGGTTAAACGATGTGTTGACTCTCTTGTGTTGAGTCAAAAGAAATTCGTGTTGGATTTGTTGGCAAAGAAAAAATGACTCAAGCCAATCCAACTACTTCAACTATGGTTGTATCTAATAAGCTGTTTAAGGATGCAAGCAATCCTTTAGTTGATGCACATGAGTTTCACATCATTGTTGGATCACTATTGTTGTCTGCCATACTCGACCTGATATAGCTCTCAGTGTAAGCAAGGTTGCTCAGTACATGCAAGCTCCTCGTGAGTCTTATCTTATGGAAGTTAAGAGAATTCTTAGGTATTTGGCAGGCACATTGAATTATGGTTTGACTTTCTCGTTTGTTGGTTCTGATCTTAATGTTACTGTATTTTCATATGCAGACTGGGGTGGTGATATAGATGACAGACGATCAATGTTTGGTCATTATGTCTTTATTGGCAATTGTCTAGTGTCTTGGTTGTCAAGGAAGTAGAAGACTGTTTCATGATCAACCATGGAAGCTGAGTATAAAAGTCTTGCTGATGTTGCTGCAGAGGTAACATGGATCAATGCCTTGCTTGTGGATTTGGGTGAAGTTCAGGTTACACCACCTACTATCTTGTGTGACAATTCGGGTGCCATTGCAATGAGTGCAAACCCAGTTTATCATGCACAGTCAAAGCATGTTGATCTCGATGTGCATTTTGTTCGGAAAAAGTTTGCTGCTAAACAATTACATGTTCAATATGTGCCAGCATGTCATCAGATTGCAGATGGCTTTAACAAACCCTTAGCTAGAGGTGCGTTTGAAAGTTTTCGCGAAAGAGTGAATTTTCATTTGATTGAAAACAAAGAAAAAGCAGAGGGAATGATGAATATAGAAGCGCAACATATTAGTAACAACTCTTGGCACGTGCACCACTCACTGCTGGTATATTCAATAGTCAACAACATGATATATTCTAAATAAGAACCGACCATCCCCCAAGTCGGCAATTGAGATGCCCCCAATGGGATGCCAATACTCGCCAAAGTAATCTTCATCACTCGAACATTAATTATAACAGCCGTGAGAAAACACCCAAACAAACAATTGTCAAGAGAAATCATAGTGGAAATGTTAGGTTGTTCAATTATTAAGACAGCATCCTCCTCCTTCCCTAAATTAAGTCCTTCCAACTCGTGCTCAATCTCTTCCATAATTAGATCAACCAAACAACGAAACACCCAATCCCAATAATAACCGAAACGAAGAAACAAATAAGAAAATTGATATCACAACTTAGTGAACGTGCCACAAAAAAGCAAAAGAACAACGTGCCAGACGACAGAGCAACCCTAGCATAGTGGGTTAAGTGAAAAATCTCAAAAATATAATTACAATTTGGTGCTTAATAGTTTAGTTTACCAAAATATTTTTTATGATATAAGAAATTATAAATTATGGTTTTTTTAACAAAATAAATGGAGTTTTGTTATCTTTATAGTCTTATTTCTTGATATGATCGTTCTTACTCAGGTCATGAAAATATAAAAATAAACCATGTGATTATATTCTATTTTAAATAGATATTATAAATTAATTTTTAAAATGATTTAATATCATTTTTATAAAAGTAAATAGATAATTATTTAATTATTTTTTATTTTCAAATAATATGAAAATATAATTTTAGTTTGATCTTAATTTTAATAATAGTTCAAGTTAAATACTAATTTGATTGGAAGTATAACAATTTTATAATTTGATTTAGTGATGAATACTTATTTTTCTAGTTTTTGTGTGTTTAGTTTAAATAAAAACTTAGGTGGAATGTTAACAAAATCTTGATTTAATTTAGCAATTAAACCCTTTAATTATATATTCTGCTTTTTCCTTTGTCCTTTTTTCCCAAGTTTGAGTCTCCTTTTTCCTTTAATTACTTTATTTTTTTTCTTATTTTTATGTGATTAGTTTAATTATAAGTTTGGGTGAAATATTAATGAACTCTTTTATTCTTTTGTTTTTTTGAATTGAAGAGGAGGCATAAGCTTAACTAATTATAAACAAACTTCACACAAGGAGGTCCCCGAACATCTCGATTAGCAATCGGCAGAATTGAATCAGGAGCATTGTCAAATGAATGCATCAAGAAATCTCTTGGTTGGTCGAGTTTGGCCATTACGTCAGCAACCATGTTTTCTTCTCGAGGAACCCAAACGAAATCTGTGTACCAGCTGCGAAAGCGTAAAAAGTTAATGGCTTGAACCAACGGAAGCGTCGAGTGGCAGGCATTCGCATCCAAGAGCAGCTGAATCGCTTGGAAGCGGTCGGATTGGATTTGTAAAGCTTCACACCCATAATTCCAAGCATAAAGCAGGTTGGTAAGAATGCCCCAAAGTTCAGCCATCAGGGGAGTGGTTCTTATGAAAACCGCTAAGCCAGACTCCTTCATTCGTACGGAACACGCCACCAACTGAGCCAAACCCGGTGTGACCATCGACCGAAGCATCTATATTAAGACAAATCTCAACATGGGAGGGAGGCTTCCACATAAGCAATGCTGGTTTCCTGGCACTGTTCATTTTAGTAGAACTTTTTTAGTCCATAAAATGTTTTGACCATGAAATGCTAGCTTTGAGGATCTCATGCATACCCGAGCTAGTATCGTTGAAAACAAAAGAATTTCGCCTTTTCCATATTTTGCATGCGAACGTGGGAAAGAAAGCAGTCCATGAAATAGGAATACCTGGAGGGTTTTCCTTGCATACCAAGCTGGACAAGATCCAATCAGGTAAAGACACAGCAAAGAAGGAAGCCGAGGGGCTAGGTGGAACGAGTGACTTCCAGATGTTAGAAACTGCCAGACAGTCTCGTAAAACCTGGAGGATTGATTCTTCAGAGAGGCAGCAGAGAGGGTAGGTTGAGCTTATGGAGAGCCACGGCGGTATATTTCTTTATTTGTCAAGATACGCTCTTTAAGGATAAGCCATAGAAACAAACAGATGCGCTGAGGGAGTGGAGTGGTCCAGATAGCTTTCCATTTCGTATCAACGGTACCCAAAGTACCTTCAACCTGTTTGCAATAAGCTGAGTCAACGCTAAATTGGTGATTCGGAATCCATTTCCATACACAACAGTCCTCACTAGCTAAAGGATTCGAAGGCATAATTCCCATAATACGGTCAACAATGGCAGGTTCAAAAGTTGAGCAAGCTTGTCACTGTTCCAGTTCCCATCTTGGTCGATGAGGTCAGCAAAACCAGTGGGTGTATTTACTTGGGAAGGAGACAAGTAATGACACAAAGGTCCCATAGTAGGGATCCAACAATCATCCCATAAGTGCACAGTATTTCCATTTCCAGGCAGCCATAAGATATTCGAACGAAAGATGTTCCAAGTTTGAGTCAAAGCTCTACAAAGAGGGGAGCAACATGACATAGATATCGAGCTTGGACAATGATCCGTCATACGGTATTTCTGTCTAATAGCTTGGACCCAAAAGGCATTAGGGCGAGTAATCAGTGCGTAACCAAGTTTCCAAATAAAAGCGGTGTTGTGGTCGTAAGTTCTATGGAAGGAGAGATTCTCAGTTGACGAGAGAGATTCTCCTATTGGAAGGAGCATACCCCCAAATGAAAAGACGGATAATGTTATCAATTTTCGAATAAACTCCACTGGGAAGACGGGTTGTCTGCATGAAGTAAATAGGGATTGCCGTTACATCGATTGGCAAGGGTAATGCGTCCTACCATGGAAAGGGTGCGAGCGGCCCAACCATTTAATCGTGCCCGCATTTTGTCTAAGATAAAGTCATTATGGGCATGATGGGTACAACCGTGAAAAATCGGTACTCCCAAATATTTTCCCATATTGTCAACTTGGTGATAGCCAAGAAAAGCACAGATTGCGAGTTGTTGCTCTTCACTAGTATTGGGAGAAAAATAGATACGAGTCTTCCTGGAGCTGACTCGATGACCAGAAAAATGCCCAAACTCGGACAAGGTCGAAACAACGATGCGAGCTTGATCAAGGTCAGCTTTGCTATAGAGTATGAGATCATCTGCAAAAAAAAAAAAAAGATGAGACAGGGGCAAAGCATTTCGAGCACGTTGAAAAGGCTTCCAAGAGCCTGGAGCAACTTTCTGAAGAATGTTGTGTCCAAGCTTCTCCATGACAAGGACAAATATGTATGATGAGAGGGGGTCGCCTTGGCGAATACCTAGTTCAGGATGAAAAGGAGAAATGAGAGATCCATTCTACTGAATTTGCAACGACGCTGAGGAAATGCATCTCATAATGAGATTGATAAGCGTTGGTGGGAATTTGCATCCACTCTTTTAATATACCTATATAATTATATTATATTGAATAATGTTACACAAATATATACGATTTCTTTTTTATTTTAAGATTTGATAAATTAGAAGAGTTTTAATTTTATAAAATTGGATATTTAGTTAAAGATTATATACTTTTTGCAATAGATTAAATCGTGACATGTAAAAAATATAAAAATTAAAATTTAATTTATCTTACCAGGTCATTTTATCATCTCATGCTCCACGTAAGCATAAAAAGTATCAACTGAGTAAGAGCTTTAATGGGTAGAAATCATACGGATTTCGGTGATAAAAAATTATCGTTATTTTTTGAAGTCTCTTTAAGTATAAGTTCAAGCATCAAAAATATTAAAGATATGAAAGTTTAATATCAAATGGTTCATAATTATCTTTAAACAAATTCCGCTTTAAACCTACCTTAGATTAATAAAAAAAAAAGTTCATTCGCTTCAACCTTTCAATTTGATAAACTTATATTTCAGAAAGAAGAAGCATATATACATAAATTAAAACGTTGATATGATTTTTCAAAACAAAGATGTAAATAAATATGAACAATAAAGGGTATGTTCATGCGAGACAACTACTTTCATTTTTTTTAAAGGCATACAAATTATTATTTTGAAGGTGAAGAAGGCAAAATATTTGATGGCTAATACTTGAAAAGATGAATCTAAGATTACGAGCTTCAAATGAACTGAAACGACGTCGTCCGATGTAATAGACAGAGATAGAGCCATGATCTTGATCAGGAAGAACAAAATATAACTTTTCTAAAAGAAAAAGGGTCAATTCATACTTATCTCATAAATATTTAAATTATATATATAAATTGAATGTAAAAAATAAATTTGTCAGGCTGGGGCTGCAGCCCCTCCTATCTTATTTTTTGCTCGACAAAAAAAATTATTAGAAAGATTTAAATCAAATAAGTTTACTAGCGTGGCTCATTAAAAACCTCTTTATTTCTGTGTGGAGTAAAAGAGTACACACAACTAGACAACTAAAAACAATACAAAAAGAACTAGAAGACCAATAAACTCTCAATTAACCGACCTTATAAAATTTCCTAAACACCAATAACTCACAGTCCCTAGACAACCCAACTTTTTTAGATGGTCCGTCTTGAATTTTCGATCTTACGGACAAAACAGAACTGAACAATATCCATCGGCCAAGCTGGCCAATCAAGCTCCTCAAAGGCAAAGTAATAGTAAACAAACCAAAACAAGGCCACCTATCATGACTAAAGAAGCTCTTCACATAGCCTAAAACTATTACGGAAGACGGCTATCGGATAGAGCAAAATCGTAACTGATAATTTGAGAAAATAAAATTAAAGGTAAAGAAGACACAAATTTTACGTAGAAAACCCCTAAATAATATAGGGTAAAAACCACGGGCAAAGGTAGAAGAATTTCACTATTAGAAAATAGGAATTACAACTTCTCTCGATCTACCAAGGAGAAAACAATGACAATTCTCTCTTGATAAAAAGGAGAAAACAACTCTCAAGAAACTCTCTAAATTCTATAATATGGGGAGAAAGCTAAAAAGATTTGGGATGGTTTTGAAGCTAAATGTGATAGGGTATTTATAGTTGAAGCTTGAGGACTAATCTTGTAAATACCCTAAAGTCCATGGACTAAATATTGTAATTATCCCTTGCTTAATTCAACAAAAATAATTGCCCAATTTTGACCAAAAACAGCCACCGACTACTATGACTTTCAACAATCTCCCACTTGAAGATTTGATTGGAACAATCATATCTTCATACCATTCTTTCTACCTTGTACCTTCATGTTGCTTACGCTTCTGACAGGACACAAGAGGATCAACACTAGTTAAATTTATCAACATTGATCGCATTCGTCATGAAATATGCTATGTTGTATTTGGTATGGATCTTCTGCATATCTACTGTCCCTTCTCCCACCTTTTCACATATAAAATGGTATTGAACTCGTATGTGCTTTCTCCTTGAATGAAATGTTGGATTCCTTGCTAAATGCAAGGCGCTTTGGCTGTCACAAAACAGTGAGACATACTCTTGATTGTGCTCAAGCTCCTCCAATAGCATCTTCAACCAAATTGTTTCTTTACTGGCTTGTGTAGCTGCTACATATTCTACCTCTGTTGTGGATGTAGCCACAACTGACTACAATTTTGAAACCAACTTACAGCTCTACCAGCAACTTTGAACACATATCCTGTAATAGATTTACTTTTATCCAAATCCTCTGCATAGTCAGAATCGACATACCAATTGATAAGTAAGTTTGATCCTCTGCAACATTTGAGGCCCCTTTAATGTATCTCAGGATCCTCTTTACTATATTTCAATGCTCTTTGTCTGGATTCGCCATGTACCGACTAACCACTCCCACTGCTTGTGCAATGTCTGGTCTTGTGCATATCATATCGAACATTAAACTTCCCACTACCAATGCATACGGCACTCGAGATATCTCTATCCTCTCTTCTTCACTGCTAGGACTCATGCTGGAGGATAATTTGAAGTTAATAGGAAGAGGGGTATAAATTGGCTTACAATCTTGCATGTTGAATCGTGACAAGATCTTCTTCAAGTAATTCTTTTGTGAAAGCCAAATCTTCCTATTACTTCTATCTCGGTGAATTTTCATCCCTAGATTCTTGTTTGTTGATCCCAAGTCCTTCATTTCAAATTCCCTAGCCAGTTGTGCCTTCAATTCTTCAATATGATCTTTGTTGGGTCCTGCAACCAACATGTCATCCACATACAACAGTAATATAACAAAATCGTTATCACCAAACCTCTTGAAATAAGCACAAGGGTCTGCATTAAGTATGTTGTATCCAAGGTACATAATGAAGGAATCAAATCTCTTATACTAAAACCTCGCCGCCTACTTTAGACTGTACAGAGATTTGTTTAACCTGCAAACTAAGTTCTTATTTTCTTCTTCTTCAAAATCTTCAAGCTGGAGCATATAAATCTCTTCTTCAAGATTTCCATGAAAAACGTTGTTTTAACATCTAGCTGCTCTAGATGTAAATTAAATGCAGCACACATTGGAAAAACTACTCGAACTGTTGTTAGTCAACCCACAGGAGAAAAGATTTCATTGAAATCAATACCTTCTTTTTGAGCATATCCTTTGACCACCAGTCTTGCACGATACCTCTCAACTTGATCATCACCATTTCGCTTGATTTTGAAGACCCATTTTTTATCAAATGACTTCCTTCCTTATGGTAGTGGCACAAGGTCCCATGTATTATTTTTATGAAGGGGTTCAATTTCTTCTTGCATCGCCATCATCCACAGTGAAACATCTGAGCTATTCATTGTCTCCTGGTATGTTGATGGCTCGCCGTCCTCTATTAAAAGGCAGTAATTAATATTTCCTTCTATAACATAATCTGAGTGCCAATTGGGATGTCTTCTCACACGATCTGATTGACGAGTTGTTGGTGCTTCAGAATTCTCTGGTTCTTGTTCATCATGTGCTGGTTCTGCTTCAGAATAATCTCCTTGTTCAAACTCCTTTTCCACATGTATCTGAGTAGTCTCTAACTTTTCAGTGCTATCATCGTATTCTTTTCTTTGTAGTTTATCTTCTACAAAGAGAACATCCCTACTGATGATCACTTTGCGGGCAGTGGGATCCCACAAGCGATACACCTTTACACCATCAGCATACCCCAAGAATTTGCATTTCCTGGATTTTGGATCCAATTTTGAAATTTCTTGGGAGTTGTACATCACGTACACAATACTTCCAAATACATGGAGGTTTGAATAATCAGCTGGTTTACCAGTCCACATCTCTATTGGTGTCTTCAGCTCTATTGTAGTTGATGAAGCTCGATTCACCAAATAACAGGCGGTATTGACTGCTTCTACCCAAAATGATTTTTCTAGGCATGCATCCCTCAATATTGCTCTTGTTCTTTCTAACAAGGTTTCGTTCATCCGCTCTACCACTCCATTTTGTTGAGGAGTGTTCGCCACTGTGAACTATCTTTTGATGCCTTCTTTCCTGTAAAAGTCATAAAATTCTTCACTTGTGTATTCTCCTCCGTTATCTGTTCTGAAACACTTGATCTTATTTCTAGAATCAAGTTCCATCTGCACTTTGAAGTTTTTGAAAGTGAGAAACACATCTGACTTCTTCTTAATAGGGTACAACCAGCATTTCCTGGAGTAGTCATCAATAAATGAGAAAAAGTATTTTTCTCCTCCTAGGGATGTAACTGGTGCTTGCCATACGTCAGAGTGAACCAATTCTAGAACACTTTTGCCTCTATAATTTGATGTGTTGAATTTCAACCGGTGCTGCTTACTTGTTATGCAATGCTCACACAAAGGAATTGATACATTTGTTAAGCCTGAAAGTAGCTTTTGCTCCACAAGGACTTTGATTCCTTGTTCTGACATGTGTCCAAGTTTATGATGTCATAGCATTGCAGAATCTGAACTACATGAGGCAACAGAGGCTTCTGCTTCTAGAAAAGTATCTCCCTTCAATATGTACAAGTTTGTTGCTATCTTTTTGCCTTTCATCACCACAAGCGCTCTACGGAATACTTTTATGATTCCTTTCTGTGTTTCAATCTTGCTAGCATTATTATCCAACAATCCGTAGGATAATAAATTTTTCTTCAGGCCTTTCACGTGCCACACATCTCGAAGAACTTTAATTGCTTCATCGTACATCTTCAATTTGATGGTTCCCACGCCAACGATCTCTAAGGTATGATCATTGCAACTATACACAGTTCCTCCTGAGACAGGTTCATAATGATGGAACTATTCTCTTCTTGAGGTCATGTGATATGTTGCTCCTGAATCAATGAGCCATATATCTACAAATCTCTTTCTACCTTCCACGGTGGTTGACGCTTCACATCATAGAGCATCTTCATCATCTGAAGTGTTTGCGGTATTGCCTTCTGGATTGGAGTTTTTATTTAGACTCCAATAATCCTTCTTCAAGTGATCATTCTTTCCACAGTTGTAGCACTTTAAATTCTTCTTGCTTCTCGACTTCGATCTACCATGTTTGTTACTGCTGCTTTGGCCACCTTCTGTTGATTTCCCTCTCATCGTTGTCAACGCTTCTACTTGTTGCAGATTTACTTGTCTGTCTTCCTTGTTCTTGCGTCGATTTTCTTCTTGTAGAACAGCAGCTGCAACGTCATCGAAGACTAGACTGGTGACATTATTGTTTGTCAAGTTGATGATGAGTTGATCATATGAATTGGGTAGACTTTGAAGTAGAAGTTCAACACGTTCTTGTTCTCCTATTGTACATCTTAAGGATTTAAGCTGAGAAAATAAAGTGCTCAATGTGTTTAAGTGCTACATCACTGAAGTAGATTCTGGCATCTGGAGAGTGTACAATTTTCTCTTAAGGAAAATTTTATTGTGCAACAATTTAGCCTCGTACAGTTTGGTGAGATGATCACATATATCCTTAGTTGTCTTCTTCTCCTTGATGTTTGACAATACTTCATCTGCTAATGCTAGATGAAAGTTTGTCATAGCATTCCTGTCAATTTTGATCCATTTGTTGTCATCTGTGAAATCTACCGGCCTTTCACTAATAACTGCTAGACAACTATCTTTCCTCAGGATGACATTCATCTTCAATTTCCACAATGAGAAATTTCTCCCATTGAACTTTTCAATATCAAATTTCGTTTCCATAACTTCAATTACAGATAACTCTCCACTATTTCACTATCGTAAATAGTTCTCTTGAACCTTCAAAGAATGGGTAATACCTTCTTACTTTCTTATGTTGGAGAATCTACCTTTTGGGGGCAACCACTAAGATAGTAAGTAGATATTACACACTCTAATCTAGCGCTTGATACCAATTGTTGCATAAGACGACTATCGGATAGAGTAAAATCGCAACTGATAATTTGAGAAAATAAAATTGAAGGTAAAGAATACACAAATTTTACGTGGAAACCCCTAAATAATATATAGTAAAAACCACGGGCAAAGATAGAAGAATTTCACTATGAGAAAATAGGAATTACAACTTCTCTCGATCTACCAAGGAGAAAACAATGACAATTCTCTCTTAATAAAAAGGAGAAAACAACTCTCAAGAAACTCTCTAAATTCTTTAATATTGGGAGAAAGCTAGAATGATTTGGGATGATTTTGAAGCTAAATGGGATAGGGTATTTATAGTTGAAACTTGAGGACTAATCTTATAAATATCCTAATGTCTATGGACTAAATGTTGTAATTATCCCTTGCTTAATTCAACAAAAATAATTGCCCAATTTTGACAAGAAAAAACAACAGCCGGCTGCTATGAATTTCAACAGAAACATATGAAGGCAAGCCTTTAACTTCGTCCTCTTCCTCTCCTACCTGATCTCGAGATGATCCACAAACCATGAGAAGGCACCTTTACAAGTAACACTATAACCATTATAAGTGATGAATCACATGATAAGACACTCTAATCCCAACAAGAATTCTTCTTAAAAGCTTGTCATCTAAAAGGTACCACCATCGACCACCGCACAACATTTATGGATCACCATTTAGATCCTATCTCGATTATCAATTAAGAACCAGCTATGACCTGAAATTATTCAAGACCCCACCTCCGAACTGCAACAAGCCCCCATGTCCTGTTATCACGTCTTCTCTTTCCTATAAAACTCTACTGCAGAACTTCTTAGTATTTAAAAAAATCCAGTGGCATTGAAAGATCGTATCAGTAGGATATTCAGAGCTACGCATATCAACAAAAATACAAAAAATAGTTGTTTTAGCATGAGATGGTTCTTTGATCAACTGTATGAAAAAATGCTTCAAAAACGCTATTCTTATATGAATTTCTCCAGCACTCCAATACTGGCAAATATGGAGTACGAACTTTCTTTAAAAGGAAAACTCAAAAACCTGACCACCAAGCTCCCTCTATAACTGATCTTTTTCTTCCAGAAGCAGCAACTATTTGATTACCTCCGCTCATCCCCTATGATTTGAATGTCCAAGACCTTCCCCAGTTCCAAAGCCTTCTTTGCATCTTTTGTGCATATATTCCTTCTAATTTGTAAATCTGAGTCCGATAGCGAACTCCCTTCAATTGCTAAACAATCCGAGCCCTTTTTTCTTCAGTCTTCTTTGAGCACGATCTCTTCTTTTCCTATCTGCTTCTATTAGGACTCTATTTTGAAATTCCTGAAGTGACCCATTTTTCTTCCTTCTATTTGCTTTTACTTTGAGGTGTATCTAAGAAGATTCAAGAAGAGAACCTTCCACCTTCTTTTGCTCCTTGTCACCTGATAGAGACCCGTCTGCAACTCCCTTTTCTTTTTCAACATTTTCCAGCTGATTATTCATTTTATCCACAATAGCAAGCCAAGTTAATTTATTTTCGGTTGGCCTAAGTTAGGGATGTGAAATTAGGTAATCGTTTAGGTTTCAGTTGTATATTATCAGGTCAGGTTAAATCGGATATAAGTTGTGTCAGGTTAATTTAATGGTTCGACTCGGATTAGGTTGGGTCCGAGTCAAATCATTTCAGGTTATTTTTAGGTTGATTTGAAATCAAAAATAGTTCGGGTACGGGCCGCGTTAATTTCAGTTCGGATCGATGTCAATTCATGTCAAAACGGTTCAGGTTCGAATCAGCTAAATACAAGGTTAATTAAAGTTCGAATGGACTTCAGGTCAGATCTAGTTCAGATCGGGTCACATCATTGAAAGATAAAATTTAGATCGAATCTTATCAGATATGAATTGACTTCAGGTCGGGTCATTTTTGGGTTATTTACTTTTTGTCTTTTATGAATGTCGAATTTTAATTTGTAATTATATATGATTTATAGTAAATTACAAAAATATAAATAATTATGGGTCAATTTTGATAAAAATATAATTTTAAGGACTAAATTGAACAACATGAAATTATAAACAAAAAATTAAATAAATTAAACAATATTACAACACACTGGGATCAAATCAAAATAATTATAAAATGTGAAGTTGAATTAATATAAAAATGGAATGGATTGTATCCATTTAAAAAGTTGGTAAACAAAAGTTTATAGGGTTTCGAGAATATGATATAATTTTCTAATTTATAGAATTTGAAATGAAGTTTATTATGTGATTTATATTTTATAAGGTGTGAAGTAAATTACAAAAATATAAATAAGTATGGGTCAATTTCATATACAAATATAATTTTAAGGATTAAATTGAACAAATATGAAATTATAAATTAAAATTTAAATAAATTAAACAACACACATGGATCAAATCAAAATAATTATAAAATATGAAATTGAAATTAATATAAAAATGGTTTGAATTGTATTCATTTCAAAAGTTGAGGAAAATTGAAACAATTATAATATAGGTAAAGTATAGTAATGGTCACTGAACTTTTCTAAATCTTTCATTTAGGTCCCCCAACTTTTAAATCTTACAATAAAGTCTCCCAATATTTAGTTTGTTTGCAATATGGTCCACCAATAGTTATTTCGGGGACCATATTGCAAACAGACAAAATGTTGGGGGACTATATTGCAAACGGACTAAATGTTGGGGGACCATATTGCAAATAAACTAAATGTTGGGGGACCATATTGCAAACGGACTAAATGTTGGGCGACTGTATTGCAAGTTTTAAAAGTTGGGGATCTAAATGAAAGCTTTAGAAAAGTTTAGTGACCATTACTATATTTTTCCCTCTATTAGGCATATTTTAAAAGTTTAGTGACCTAATTTTAGGGTTAACTGCATTGAGCTTTACCATATTTTAGGCATCATGTCTGCTGACTGTCGTTGATGATAGCTGTATATGGCGGAACTGAACACCTCTGACCAAATGTCTAGTGTTTCCTTCGCCTATGCAACCTTGATGGCGATACAAACTGGGAAGTGGTTTGGAAACTGCAGCTACCACAACACATTCATGTCTTTCTTTGGACAATACTCAATGGAAAGCTTATGACCGACTTGGAGCGTACTAAAAGATCGCTTACCACATTGCTCCTTATGTGGAGAGTCGAAATCTGTTTTGCATGCATTTCATGACTGCCCCGAAAGTAAGCAACTATGGTCGTCTATAATTCCTTTGGAATGGCGTGATAGTTTCTTTTCTTTGGATCAACGGGAATGGCTCTTAAGTAACGTCCATGTGGAAACTGATCAGCGAAACTGATAGCTGTGGAAACGTAGGTGCGCGTTTGTTTTTCAAATTGCATTGGTATGGGCATGATACTCTCAAGGTTGCAGCTTATATGATCTTGAAACCTAGCAGTTGGTACAATGGGAGAAACCGTAAATAACATGTAAATTGATTTTATGTAAAATAATTGTTTTTTCCCTATTATTTTTAAGACTTATTAAGAAAATTAATTGATTTATTTAGTTTAAATTTTTAAAATCGATAACCAAATCGAATTAATCAGTCAAAACTAAATAAACCGAATTTTTTTTATCAAGTCAATTTAATTTAATCTGTTAATTCAGCTATCCCCTCTTGTATATTTACTAAAGAAAACGAAAGAAAGGCCTTTAAGATCATAGACAATCACATTTGCAAATAACTAAAAAGTAAAGAATAAGGTAATGATGTAAGACTATATCTTTTACGAAGTGTTTAAAAATCCAGAAGAGCACAAAATTTGCTCTGTTCAGCATTTTCAAGTCATCATTTATTCAACAATAGAGAAGACACTAACCAAGAGGGTTATTACCAAGAATGTTGGATATTGTTCGTGTTCGTGTTTGAACATCATAAAACTTGGCTTTTTAAGCGAAGAAGACCAGAATGAACAGAACTAGCAAAAATATTATTATCATTATTTGGCCCTTAGCGCCAGCCTTATTCATAATAATAGCCATTTTTCTCTTGGCATTAAAAGAATAGACAAGTAACACAGTTAAAGGGCTGCATATTCAGCTCAAGTTTTTGAAAAATAAGATCAAATATTTAATATTTCTAATTGCAGATTGTGAATAAAAATTACCTGAACAAAATCCAGTTGGTTTTTTCTGCTGTCTATTTCGGTACCCAACCCATCTAATATTTCTCCTGAAACACCAAGGCATTCCAATTAGCATGTCAAATGGACAACACCGAACCGATGCAGATATCAGATGATATCTATTTTATTAGCAATATCTAAGTTGATGCATTATTTGGAAGGAGGCCCCTTTGTTATTAAAACATATCATGAGCCCTTGAAATATTTACTATAGCAGAAATTGACTACAACAATACAAAATAAAGGGATGACTGAATTACTTGGCTTGGATTATACAATACAATACATGAAAGGAAAATCTAATGTGGTGGCAGATGCTCTATCTCGGCAATGGGAAAACCAAGGGCAGTGACAGGCTATGGGAGTTACTACTCTGATTCCTGGTTGGGTGCAGGAAGTCGAAGAAAACTATAAAATGAGCTAGTTGTTGAATGTATTTCAATTTTATATGTTAGTTCCACTGTTGATGCTAAGTGGAAATACTCTAAAGGTATCTTAAGATACAATAATATAGTGAATATTGGGGCTAATGGTAGCCTAAGATTACAACTTCTTCAGATTTTACATGACTCACCACATGGTGGTCATTCAGGGGATCAAGCTACATATTATAGGCTTAAATCATATTTCTATTGGCCAAAACTTAAAGCCATGATCACTACATATGTCAGACAATGTGATGTGTGCCAACAGACTAAAATAGAACATGTGACAAAACCTGGTTTGTTACAAACATTGCAAATTCCTAACCAAGATTGGGAAGTGGTCACTATGGATTTTATTGAAGGCCTTTCTACTTCATTTAAGAGAAATTGCATTTTGATGGTAGTGGATAAATTTACTAAATGCATTCACTTTATGACATTATCTCACCTCTATTCAGCTGCATAGGTGGCTAAGTTGTATTTTGATAATGTCTACAAGGCACATGACCAACCTAAAATGGCCATTTCTGATAGAGACAAGACCTTCACCAATACCTTTTAGAAGGAACTGATGAAGTAGTTGGGTACACAGACTTTATTTAGTATAGCATAGCATCCAGAGACAGATAGCCAAACAAAAAGAGTAAACCAGTGTTTCGAGCAGTATCTTAGAGGACTATGTTTCCTATAACCTAAATAGTGCGCTAGGTGGTTGTGCCATGCTGATTGGTAGCACAATACCAATTATCACACAACCGTTAAACTCACACCATTTTAAGCATTTTATGGATACAAACCACTTAATATGGGTTGGCACACAGACACGTAGGTGCAAAGTGTTAGTGAAATACTTAACAGTAGTGAAGAAGTCAAATAAATAGTTAAAGAACAGTTGGAACAATCAAGTAATAGAATGAAGCAACAGGCTGATAAACATAGAACAAAGAGAAGCTTTGAGGTAGGCGATGAAATGTACCTGAAACTTTAGCCTTACAGGTCCTGGCTTTGCGAAAATATCTAAAGGTAGCAGCAAGATACTATGGTCCATATAAAATTTTGGTGAAGATAGGGCAGGTAGCCTATCGATTGGAGTTACCAGTGACCTCTAAATTACATCTCATATTTCATGTTTGTCTGTTAAAGAAACTCATTGGGGAGTCATTGGTTCCTTCAACTGAACCACCTGCAGTAGAGGAAGATTGTCAATTTAGAGTAGCACCGTAAAAAATCATAGCAAATAGATTTTTAAATCGAAACAATCAATCGGTGACCCAACTTCTCACCTGCTGGTCGAATCTGGATGCTACTCATGACACTTGGGAAGACTATATGGTCTTGAGAGGGTAGTTTCCATCTTTTGATCCTCGGGGACAAGGATTTTTTCAAGGGGAGGGTATTGTCATAGTCAGAGAAGGAGATGAGTATTTGGACATGAAGGATTTATGAATTGGGGATTGAGGGTTAGGAATTGGAACTGAAGAATTGGGAAATCTTACCTGCCCAACACGTGAAAAGCATGGGGAAGCTATAATGCCTTACCAGTCTGCTTGAGAGTCAGTGGATCAACCCCACGGAAGATCCCATTATCTGCAGGAGACATTGGAGTTTGTTAGCAAGGACTACTAACTAGCATTAGATAGATTCTCAGTACATTTTGTAAACAAATAAAACATTGTACCCATGATGAAAACGACCTGCATTTTCTATGAATGAAATCTATTATTTTCTATTCAATTCTTTCTCTACTTCAATCCCAATCTTCTCTAAGTTAACCTAAGATATAACACTCTCTCCACTATAGTCTTATTCTACATCTCTCTCACCCAAGGTGGACCACAAGTTGTTAAATGAATGATGATCCAAAAAATAAACAGGAAAAAAATCATATTATTACTGGATTGAACAAAATAGAGAAGAAAATAAGATAAGAAATTGTTTATTCATATGTAGTCATAAAATTGAATTGACAAAATCGTTGAGGCCTTTTACATAGTTTCCTTAAAAATATATCCGTCCACTTCTATAATGCTAGATATCATTAGCCGACTGTCTCTCAGTAAACAAAATGAGATGAGAACAAAAACAACACAACTAAAATGATTAGAAAATAGTAATCCAAGTTTACTGGCGAGCGTTTGAGAGAGATTGAGTCACCTTCATAAAAAACAATCACATTTAAGACAATTTTCAAAAAGTAATTGCAATAGTAAAGCCTATATAATTAATATAACTGATAAACAAAGGCTATTGAGTTACAATTTGGTGAAACGGACTGCAAAAAGGGACTTATAATGTCAAAAAATGTTAGGGTAGAGGTCTTAAAAAAATTCAACGAACAATAGTCAAAGTCAACAATCAATGGTCAATGATCAAAGTCAACGAGCAATGGTTAACAGTTGGGTCAAGTCAGGTCCGGTCAAATCGATTTGGGTCTGGTTTAGGTCAGTGGTTTGGTTCTGGTTCAGGTAAGACCAGTTTAACCCCATAAACCTGTTTGCAATAAATAACCTCCACACGCATAATGGTAGCACGTGTGGTGCATGAAACGACTTCTAATGATTGGAATCACAACAAACTTTCTAGATTTGTATTTTAAAGTGTGAGGATTCCTTTACCAAGGTTGGTTCACGATGTTGAGCGAAAAAAACACGACTTTCACAAAACTCAAAAGTTTCCACACTTCTCTATTGCTAACAACGCCCATGAGGATATAATAAAGGGTGTGTTTTGCCCATGTAGACGTGATGTGTCATGGACTTAGTCTAGTTGGTTCTGTTGCTAACATGTGCAACACTTTAAAGGGACACTTCCTCACCAAGTCAACCTTATTCTTGAATATCTGATCAAACACAAGCACACATCTAGTTAGATCTCTGCCACAACAAGGTCTTTCAGGTTGTGGATTAAAACTGTGGGGTATAGCGAATGCACACGGTCGAGCTCAGACTCTCCAGAAGGAAAAAAAATGTATTATTAATGGAAATAACATCGAGTTACAGAAGACTCAACCACACTATCGACTAGGCTATAGGGGCAACCTTTGACTGTTTCACAAGACACGTACCTTTACTTGTGGATCGTTCCAAACTCTGTCGACTGTCCACCCCTATATATATATATGAAAACAAAATAACATAAATGCTACCTGTAGATGTTAAAATGCTTAAACTGGGGATTATTGATGAAATTAGCGGTGGATAGTGGATTCACGCCAATAGTAGTCTGTTGCGCCCGCAATCTAATGGGTAATGGTGTATAGCGCCAATAGTAGTCTGTTGCGCCCGCAATCTAATGGGTAATGGTGTATAGCGCCAATAAGAGGACGTTATTATCGTTATTTACTGTTACTATAAAACAAAAATAAAAAAATTGAAAAAGATGAATCTCACCGCGAAAAAATGAAATGAATATATTCATCTGCAAAAGTTAAAAGAACAACAAGAAATAATTGAAAAAAGTAAAAAAAAAAGAAATACGCTAAAATCAGTACTACAATATAAAAGTAAGACCAATCCAAATTTGAAACTCAATTTAAATGACACTTCCAACAACAAAATTTCAAAAATGCATTTTTAAAAAAAAAATCTCTCTTAAACTCTAAAAAAACAGAGCATATCAAGCAAGACTCACCAAAGATCAAATCGAGAAGGCAAAGTTATTTTGAAGCAAATCTTACATGCGTCTATCGAGCTTCTCCATCGGTGAATAAGTTGAGCAGTAACGATGGCCGACGAGCTTCCATTTGAGAAGGTAAAATAAAAAGATTAAAAAAATATCCTTATTTCTTAGATCTAATTTTGTATAAGATGAAACTTGAAGTTTTCTTTTAAAGATGAAAGGTTCGGGGGAGGGGGAGTTGAGACTTGAGAAAGCTTTTGCCATGTGGGGGTTGGGGGTGAGTTGAGACTTGAGAAAGCTTCTGTCGTTTGCTCTTCTACAAAATTAGATCTAAGAAGTAAGGATATTTTTTTTAATCTTTTTATTTTACCTTCTCAAATGGAAGCTCGTCGACCGTCGTTACTGCTCAACTTATTCACCGACGGAGAAATAATTTTAATTTTAAATCATAATTTAAGAGTTTTGTGGGCTCTGGGCTGTGTTCTACTTTAAATTGGAGATAGGTTTTATTTTTTTAATATTTTTTAAAATATATTTTAAAGGATATATTAATTTGACATCCCTCCCACCTTTTAGAATTTATAATTTAATCCTTAGTTTAAAATGTAAACTTTATTTTTTTTATTTAATTTAGTCTTAATTTTAGTAATTTAAATTTCTTCCATTTAAATTTTACATTTTTATTTTAATTATATTTAATTTAGTAACTTTTGTTCTTTAAATTTATTCAAATTTCATTCAACATTTCAACCTTCATTTTTTGTATTTCATTACATTTTTATTATCATGATAAACTAGTGTAATTAAATAATAATTCAAGTTTAAAAATACAATAGATTTTTGTTTAACTTTATGTATATATGGATTTCATTTTTTATTGAAATTGAACCATGCCACCACGTACTGAAAAGTTTTTGACTAAAAGATTAGAAGGTGCACCGAGTAGAGATATAGGTTGGCACTTTGGAGATCTACTTCCAAATACAAAAGGAAATGTCGTATGTAAACTTTGTGGAAAAGTTATGAAAGAAGGAATAACATAGTTGAAAAGCAAATTGCTCATAAAACCAATGAAGTTACACCATGCCTTAATGTCACTAGTATGTGATAGTGATACTTTATAATTTCTTTAGGAAAAAATACTTTATAATTATTTTTTGACACATGTTCTTTATAATTATTTTTAAATATTAACAATAAATATCATAAATTACTAATAGTGTGAATTATATTTATTTGATTACAGGTATCATTAGAAAAAAAAGCATTATGAAATTACTTTAAGAAGCCAAAGAAAAGAAAATGGACCAAAAAAGGAGAACAAATGAATTCTTATCAAAATTAAAGGAAGAGGTCGATGAATTCGTAGATGATGTTTCTACTATGAGACAAGCCACTCGAGAAAGTATTCAATCACAACACGAGTGGCATAGAAGAGAATAATTTAGATGAAGTACGGGTGGTTGGGGTAACGTTTATGAAGAATGACGATCTTCTACTCTTGGATCATCTGGAAGCTATTATGGAGAAAGATACAACCCAAATGAGACTGAATTTACTTTAAGGGGAACTATACCTAAATTGGTTAAGAGCAAAAGCTCAAGACAACCAAAGGTTAGCTAGTCTATTTTAAAGACGTTGCATAAAAAGATGGGTGAAGCAGTTTCGAAAGTTTTAATATACGATCGACTTCCTTTCCAATTAGCAAGCTCATCTTAGTTGTATAACTTAATTCAAGTATCAATGGAAGTTGGACAAGGTGTAAAGCTTCCAACACCTTATGAGATTTTAGATGTGTATTTGACATAAAAGTATGAACAAGTTCATGAATGGGTAAATGGACTGAAGACGCATTGGAAACAATTGGGTGCAACTTTGATGTGTGATGGTTGGATCAATAGCTTAAATCAAATTCACATCATCAACTTCCTTGTTTATTGTAGTAAATGAACCATATTTTGGAATTCTATGGATGTCTCAAGTGTTCGTAGTAGAGAAGTTGAATTCTACTACAATTTGTTAGATAGATTTGTTGAAGAAATTGGGGAAGAATATATTATCCAAATAGTGACTGACAATGAGGCAGCAATGAAAGCCGTTGGGAAAAGATTAATGTTAAAAATAAACCATCTTTATTGGACCTCATATGCAACTCACTACTTAGATTTATGTCTTGATGATATTGGAAAAAAGTCTAGTGTAGCAAAAATGTTAGAGGAAGCGAAGAAAGTGACTTTCTTCATATATAATCACATTTGGACCGTTGACTTGATGAAGAAGTATACTCACGGTAAACAAATTCTTCACCCTGCTCTTACTCGATTAGCTACTCATTTCATAAAACTTGAGGAGATAACAAGGCAAAAACAAGGTCTGAGAAAGATGTTTAACTCAAAGGTCATTATTTTATAATTAGTTAATATAGTTACTCAAATTTAACAATATTTAATGATTTTATTAGTTCCAATTTTCAAATAAGTTAAATTATGTTAATGATTTTTTTTTTCTTATTAAGATATAAGAATTTAGAGAATAAAAATGGGGACAAGAAAAATTAGGTCCTGCTTATGAAGCTAAAAAAATTGTTTTGGGAAAAGATTTTTGGAAAAAAGCCGTTAATATCATAAAAGTTTACGAACTAGTCAAAGTGTTGATGCTTGTGGACAGTGATGAAAAACCAACGATGGCCTTTATTTATGAGGTCGTTGATAGAGCTTAACGAGCAATTAAAGAAAATTGTCAATATTCCATCGAGTATGAAAGAATTATTGACAATATATAGAATTTTATGCATTTTGACTTGCATTTAGTTGGTAAGATAAAATATATCATATAATTAAGAGTTATTTTTTATTTTTTTATTTTAAGTTTTATAATTTATATTATTATCA